TAGGCACACACCTCTCTGGCTCCAGATAACCATGCTATCTCTCTAATTATGTTGCAGAGGCACATAGTCATGCAAAGCAGCCTATCACTAAGAACTGACAGCTGCTCAGAAATTACAGCTATGATGAGATGCTTCATGGTTCGCTGAATGAGAACTAATCAGATGAGGTTAAACATTTATACAATACACAGGTAGAATCAGCTTTAAAGTCACTGAAAGCACACTAAATTATTAACAAAATTAGGTATTAAAATATGCAAACTGCACTCTAATTTGTATTAAGTAGGTCAAAGAATGGGGGCATTCTGTTAAAAATACTACTTTATGGAAAGAAATGGGCAAATTATACTAAATTCCAGGGTAAACGGTATTTGTTATTAGAATAACAATGAGCAAAATGCAAGATGCCTAAAGCCTGTAGATTCTGTTTTAATTACAAATTAGAAAAATTTTAAAATTATGAACTATGTAGAAGAAGCATTTAAATTTTCATCAGTTACTTTTCACCGAGATATATCTGTCGACATAAAATTTAAACTCCTTTCATGAATTACAATTTAATTTACATTGAAAATAATTCACCAAGTCTCATGAAAATAATTTCTATTATTGCATAACTGTTAGCTTAATTTGAAATTATATTGTCATTGGACCCAGATAGATCTTCTGAGAGCAAACCTATGTCCAAGATCTCATTGAACTGAAAATCATGGGAAAGCAGAAAAACAACTCAGCTGTTTTTCAAATGAATTTAACTGAAAAAAAAAATAGTTTTAGCCTCAGTACTTTGAGAATATTAAAAACCCAGATTTCAGTGAACAGCCTCTTTCTTGTGTACTTTACAGCACAAACACTGGCAGAAATATCCTGAATGTATTAAAGACATATAAGTAGTATTTACTTGAACTTTGAGAAAAAATGGGTACTGGATGCAACAAAACAATCATATACTTTGTACAAAACTGATGATATGAAACAATAGGTCTTTTCACTGGCTAAGAACAGCTCATACCCTAATGTCTCCTTTAGCATACCAATATCCCCAGACATGCCTTTGAAGTACTCTTAGCTGACTGTGTACCACTTAAACCAAAATGTGCTATTGCATGAATTCTTCTTAGAAATACACCCAACATGTTTTATTTGAAGGCCAGTTACTTTAGGTTTCTATGTGTCCTGGAACATAATGTAAGTATATGTTATATTGATCAGCATATGTGATATGAAACTTTACTTACATGGTAAGATTGTTTTGTCTTATTGTCTATAATTTTCTGATGTTCATTCACAGCAATATATTTTCTTTTTTTAAATATTTTTCTTTAAATTAGAAACAACCTTATTTTACATATCAATCCCAGTTCCCTATCCCTCCCTTCATCCCATGCCCCCCCCAACCCTCTCCTTGCCCCAACCCCCTATCCACTCACTCCCCAGGGAGAGTGAGGCCTTCAGTGGGGGATCATCAAAATCTGTCACATCATTTGGAGCAGGGCTAGGCCCTCCCCCATGTATTTAGGCTGAAAGAGTATGCCTTCATGGGGGAATGGGCTCCCAAAGTCCATTTGTGCACTAAGAATAAATACTGCCTCCAACGCCGGAGGCCCATAGACTGTCCAGGCCTCCTAACTGTCACCCGAATTCAGGGAGACTGGTTTGGTCCTATGCTGGTTCCTCAGCTGTTTGGCTGGGGTCCATGAGCTCCCACTTGCTCGGGTTAGCGTTATGTGGATTTACTCAGCATTATCAGTTACCTTGATTACTCTTCAAATGATTGCTACAGTTTCATCAACGTTAACATTCATTATAGATTGTCAGTATGCAATATACAGAATTTCCTCATAATCATGTTTTCCTTACATTAAACTGATAGAAGAAACAGATACTTTCTTGAGGGTAAGAGAAAAAGCTGCCTTATACAATGGTACAATTCACACCATAAAATATGGGATATCTTAGTAGACCTCAAACAGCACAGGTGTTTAACGAGAAAGAGGGCAGTAAGGATACAGGAAGAGAAGGGAAGACAAGAAAAGCAGAAGTCCCCTGAAAAGGAAGCAACAATAATCTATCCCTGAATTCTTGTTATACTTGTCTATGCAGCTCACTTAACAGTATGGGACACTATCCAACACCAGTACTAAAGTTACTACTGTTACTGTTGGGTTTGCTGGCTTGCTTTCTCTTAACTTTGCTTCTTCGATCAGACTCTAAATGAACACTGAGTTCTGGAACTTCAGGCTCAGTATTTTTGCTTGGTATTATAAAATGGTCCAAGGCCTGTTGCCCTCTCCATTTACTGCATGCATTTATTTTACCAGGCAATAATTAAGTTTCTATTGGCTCAATTCTGGTCCATTTTTAGATGATGTCTCATGAATGCATATTTCAATTTTATTTCTTTAAACCAGTTGAATTAAAACTTCAACACTCATCATGAGCATCTAAACGAGTTGTTAAGTTATAGGTTACTGGGCGTCCAGAGCTTCTTTTTCAGTTTTTAATAGGATTTGAGCATTTTTTCTTTCCCAGCAACTTCCCAACTGATGTTACTGATTTAAGGAAATATCTTAATGTCAGGAGAATATTGTTGAGGGTTTCACAGGACCCCACTCTATTTGCTGTCCTTTACTTAATTCTAGATGAGTTCATCACTCTAGAGCATCTTCATTCAACACTGATCAAGGATACAAAGTAAATCAGCAGAAAAATTAAAGCAAAAATAAAAATCCAAAGGCAACTGGAAAAAAATTGAACATTAGGACCAAAGGGTACAAGTGTAAATTAAGACTACTTGAAGAACAGGGAAAGAATGTGAACCTTAAAGGATAATGTCAAATTGATGCCCAGTCAGACAATGAGAGCCTTAGAGATGTGGACTTATGGGGGAAGTCCCTTTGTATGATGCAACTGTGCACTGCTTTTATTGACAAATAAAGCTGTTTCAGTCAATGGACAGGTAGGATTTAGCTAGGTGGGAATTCCAATCAAGGAGGCAAGAAAAAGGCAGAGAGAGAGAGAGAGAGAGGTCATGTAGCTGCCCAGGGATTCTCCTGTAAGCCAAGACCATGTAAAGATAAATAGATGAATAGAAATTGGGTAAATAATTAAGAGAGAGTTAGCCATTAAGAAGCCTGAGCAATAGGCCAGTTTATAATTAATTTAAGCCTCTGTGTGTTTATTCTTGGCACAGAAGGTACTATGCTCATTATTAATTCCACTCATTCATGACCTCCAATCATTCCTCAGAAATGAAGAACAAAAACCTGTTAACAATGATTTTATCATCCTCTACCTTTTAAATGTTCATTAGCAAGAACTGCTTCATCTACAGAACAATGTCACTGGCTTGCAGGCTCATTTAACCTCATAGGTTTCCATTCTGACCATGTTAGCTAATGGCTACCACAGTCCCAAATCATCTCTGGGCTTGGCAGAGTACATAAAAGAAAGAAGATGTAGAGTAAAAGGGATTTTCTAATCCCTATTTTTCAGGGGCCTCTAACTCTTCATCCAAAGAGGTAGATTCTCCAAATTGTTTTCCTTTTCAATGGCCAAAATTGTGCTCCACAAAATCTAGATCAAAACTCTCAAAAACAGCCCTAAGCCTTTTATGGGTGAACCAACTGGACACGAGAATGTTTTCCAAATAAAATGACGAACTTTAGAAAAGAAAGGAGCTCCTTACTGAATAGAGAAGTGTGTCTGGCACAAACCATCAAAAAGGCTGAGATGGATGTCACAAGGTATTCAGGAGGCCCCCTTTTGTCTCCTTCCCTCACTTTCTCCTTTCTTTCTACACTTCCTACTTTACTACTACTACTACTACTGAACATTTCTGTGAAATAAAAACGTGGTAATAGGTATAGTGCTACAATTAGATTCTACTTATCCACTAAGAAAGTTAAGAAAAAGAAATGAGAATACAGAATTATCTGGGTTCCTAAGATGCTCTATAAACCATTTCAGTCCTGCTTTATCTAATTCTAGACTGTTCTATTGGTTCAATGGACAGTTGACTCTGTAAATTATGTTCCCCAGATTCTCAATGTTTTAAGAAGCGTTCAATTTAAGAAGTGTTCAGTTACAAACAGAAAGCAACACTGAAAACTCCAGAAACATTTAATAATATAAATATATCTCTACTATGGTTTAACTCTTGGGAGAAGCTTGATATTTAGGGCTTTCTGAGCTTTCTCCCTTTTTGTTGTCATGTCCTACTTGCTCACAGGAGTTTGGTTACTCCAAAATGAAATGCTAGTGTTGCAGTGCTAGTGTCTGAATGGGTGTATATTCTCTACTCCTCCCTCTCTTCTCATACTTCTACCATTTTCTAGATCCCCTGCAACAATTTCATTGACAAGACCACACTTGTGGAACCTTCAGAAAAATTAAAAAGGATGAAAGTCTTCTTTGGCATTTTATCCGTCTCTCTATTGCAATACATCACAACTGAGTTAATTTTAGGTCTGTTTCTCCCACTAGAATGGGAGGTGACCAAGAGAGAAAATAGCCCCTCATCTTGTATATTGTGGGGCCTTAATGATTCACAAGGAACTGGTACTTTTTAAATGACAGCTTTTATATAAAAGAAAACTATAACTGCATTTAACAATGAAATTTTAAAATGGATTTCTTCAGTCAACCTCAAACCACCTCTACTGAATGGTAGAATGCTTGCTCTAAGATATTCAAGGCTCTGGGTTCCATCCTCATTAACATAACAACAATAATAAACAACTGTCCTCACTTCTGGGGTATTTTAATTCTGTTAACTTAATCTCCTAGCCTAATGTGGTTTCATTCATCAGAAAGTAACAATAACTTGTAATGATTAACTAAAAGTAAAACCAACAAGCAAAAAAAAAAAAAAAAAAGTAACAAAAGTTATATGGGGCAAAGGGGAGAAATAAACATTCTCAGGTTTCTGTAATAAATTTCTAGTAAATTATGGTAATAATCAGTTTATAAATTACTGAAAACTGATTTCACATACTCACCATTGTTAAACAACCCTGAGGAAATCCTGCTCAGGAAAAGTTCTTGACGTAATTGCAGAACTTCAGCTTCTAGAGCTTCAACTTTTGATTTACATTTGGACTCCTTCTGGGTCACCAAGGCCACAAGGTGTTCTGTATACTCTCTGCTGCTTCTGTCTGCTGGTTTTGTGTGGATAATCGCCAAAGCCAGTGCCAGCTTTGAAGTTTTCAAATACCACGTCTGACCATCCATTTTGGCTTTTGTCCCTATCATAAAATGAAAGGAGTTACAAAACTTACTTTTAACTTTCAGAGTGTTTTATTTGAAGAAAAACTGATCTTTCAGGGGTGTGCTAATTAAAAAGTTTATAATATAAATTGATTCCAAGCAACAGAAAAAAATTCTCAGGAATTAAAAATAATATGAGACCTCATGATTTTTCACTGTCCACTCTAGCATGTCTATACTTGCCTTGTTCAACTCATGTTTAAGTGGTGATATGAGTAAGACATTATGGGTGTAGCTTCTGACATTACTAGAAAAGACCATCTCAGAATCCTCAAGTAGACACAAAAAACTGCAGGAAAGTAAGAAATACTGACAGCAGAAGAAACCATCTTCCCCAGGGAAGAATATGACAACTGATTATCCAGTCCAAATGGTGAACCCTGGAAACATATAGGCTGTGAAGGTTGTTTTTAGCAATATGTATATACATATACACATATGCATGAAAAAATAACAAATAAGGAGGCCATAAGTTCAAAAGAAAGCAAGGAGAGATATAAGGGAAAGAGAAGAGGAAAATAATGTAATTATAGTAAAATCTCAAATAAGCAAGAAAAATCTTTCATGTATTTGCATTGCTGCAGTTTTTTGATCTTGTACTTTCAAATACTCCAACGGCTGCCCTGAGTATACTTCTCCACACCATTAACATTTCAGTCTTGCAATATAAATACATTGAAAGGGAAAACATGATGCACAATTGGCCTTAGTTTAATTAATTAGTTTAATCTTAATTTCCACTGAAGGGTAAGTACATTTTGGCTTCCTCCATATTTTACTGGATTACCACAGAGGCTTTGAACATAAAACCTACTCTATAAATGTTTTCCGCATAGTTAAAAGTACAGTAGCTGCTCATGCCTACAGTTCCCAATTTCATTGTATACATTTAGCAAATTGCAGATCACATCCATTTTTGTGGTGTTTTGACCATGTATAGATTGTTTTGATTGTTATTATTTATTTTATGCAACAACTCTGTATATTATTTACATGTTTAGGTATTATAATGATGACTTGAAGTACACAGGAAGATGTGCTAGATTATATGGGAATAGTATACCATTTTATATAACGGATTTGTGCATTTAAATATCTTCATATTTGAGGGGATCCTAGAACCCATTTGCCCAAATCTCAGTGATGACCATGGAACGTTTCAAAATATTCAGTGTCTGGTTACCACATTGATCCTAACACAATTTCACATTACACCCTATATGTTCTTAACTTCAGTTTCTTAGGCCTACCCCAGTAGGACTGCACTACCCAAGTTCTTTTCCATTTCCATTCACATCTCTGCTAATGAATTTCTACCAGTTATGATACCCCAACTCCCTTATAGCTGCCTGAAACCTGTCTGTACATCCTTCCTAATGCAGTGTACAACCACTAATGCAGTGCACTTTTAAGGTGATCTGAGAATTAGTCAGACACACTCACAACCACATGAGCCTATGTGATACCCTCCATGGGGAAATAAGATGGCACACTGTGACAAGTGCCCTAATTATGCATGCACATGTGAAATCCAGAAATTAATGTTGAGCGTCTTCTTTATCAACCCCTTGCTTATTTTTTGAGACAGAGTCTCTCTCACTGACCAAAAATTTTACCCATTAGTTAAACAAGCTGGCCTTTAAAGGCCCTGTACCCTCTTTTCTCTGCCTCCCCAGCACTAAGATAATATACACACACTAACACACCTCTGCTTTGTGGATGGGTCTTGGAGATCCAAACTTGAGTCATCATGATTGAAAACTGAACAATCTCCCCAGCCCTTAATGATTCACTAAAATTGTGCTAACACAAAACTGTATACACAATATCCTCCTCACACCACTGCTTTTATATTGAAAACTGGGATTGACAACTGAGAACTTATGCATATAAAGTCATGATTATAAAAGTGACTGCAACATAGTCATCAAAAATAGGTATTAGTAGGGAATGTTTTATTTGGTAAAGGAAAATCTAAATATAGTAAGGGCCTCGGTTACACAAAATACAGAAACACAAAAACTATAAATTAGTACTATTATGTAACTATAGAATTATTGATTTTTAAAATTTCATTTGTCTCTTGTTCTAATTATTCTCAGGGACATGTATAACAATATATTAAATTATTAAAGAATAAATTTTCAAAATGAAAGCACAGTGACACTTTTGGAACCTCTCACCACTACTGAATAAAAACACCAAATTTTACACGCTAGTGGGATGGCCATACTGATTAGAATTACAACCCCACTAATTCTGACTTTGGCAATGGCCATTCCACTTGCTGGTTCATCATCCATCTGTTATGTCAGGAATAGGGCTAAGGGCTCAGACACTTGTTACTCTCAGAGAAGCACCCTGCATGCTAATCACAGTCACAGGATGACCTTCCCTGAAGAAGGAACCTTGTTTGTATATTTAACAATATTGACTCCCCTACACAGACACACACACACACACACACACACACACACACACACACACAAACACACACACACACACTTATAAGCTATTAAAGTCTCTTTCAGTTAGAAAAATTCTCAAATGCAAAGATGTATAGTGGGAATGTAACCTAGAAAAACAGTTTGGTAACATCAGGGTGAAAAATTCCCTAGATCATAAAAACAGCCAACTCCCAAAAACATGTTTTAGTTATAATTAATTGATTTAATTCATTTGATTGACTTATGTTTGGTTTTTAGTCTTTGTACCAGATTCATCTTTAAATCATGCTATCATTAATCAGAAAAAAAAAAAAAAAGATCAAACTGCTAAGTCTTTTGGTTTGTTACTAACTCTGGGTCTGAACATTAATTAGAATTGAATCACAAATGAGCATACACAATTGCTAATAGAGATGCCTAGTACAGAGTTGTGGGGTATAAATCAAACTGAGAACACATGGAGACTCCAAAATACAGACTGGGTTCCTGGGGTGTGTGTGTATGGTGTGTGTGTGTGTGTGTGTGTGTGTGTTTGTGTGTGTGTGTGTGTGTCCTTTTAATTTTAGAGTAGCCATAAGTCAAACTGAGAGCTTCTATAACATATAAAATATATATTTGGCCTTTGTCCCCAGTGTTTGACACAAAGCTCCTGAATATTCTGGATTACCAATTCCCAAGTGGCAATAGATACTTATATTCTAATGAGGTAACTCCCAGCATGTTTCCAAATGGGAAAAGACTGCCAGAGACACCAACCACAACTAGATAGCTAGAAAACTGCCATTATCAACTCCCACCTCAACATCAGTGGAAGAGCAGAGATAGAAGACTGGGATAATAATGGATCATGACTTACCTAGTGACACCTAGCATCAAATAAGGAGGAAAAAAAAAATCACTTTAAACAATGGAGAAGACAGAGCTTCCAGTTAATAAACACATCAAGGGGCTAGGAGGATATTGCATAGAAAATGACTATCACTGCTTTGTGCATTCCACACCACAAGGACCAGTAATGTCTTCCATTCATCCCTGGCATGAATCTGGTTTTGTTTGTTTGTTTTTTAAGACTCCTTGCTCTTTGAGGGGCCCACCACCCATCAAATAAATACATACAGACTTACTCTTTCTTCTGAATGCCAGGCTTTGGCTCGGTTTATTTCTTTTGTAGGCAGCTTTTGTTAAATTATCTCATCTACCTCTTGCTTCGGAACTTTTACCTTTCTCTATCCTATATACCTTTCTTTACATCTTACTCTGTGGCTGGCTATGCAGCTCGGTGGCTGGGTGGCTGGCCCCTGATGTCCTCTCTCCTCCTTTCTCCCTCCTTGATCTTCTCTTCCCAGATTTCTCCTCCTATTTATTCTGTCTGCCTGCCAGCCCCAACTATCTCCTACCTTGCTATTGACCATTCAGCTATTTAGTAGACCAATCAGATAATTTAAAAAGCAAAGAAACACAGCTTTACATAGTTAAACATAAAAGAATGTAACATGTCTTTGCATAATTAAACAAATATTCCACAGCATAAATGAATGAAACACATCTTAAAATAATATTTCACAATAAGAACTCTTTGTGGCAAACTCTAAAAAGCATACTTCCTTTCTGATTAGTAGATTATGAAATCCCTTATTTAGGTGGACAGTTCACAAGTAATCTGAAGATTTTTGCATCAGGCACCTGATCTTGTGGTAGTCTTTGTAACTAGGCAAACACACCAGTGGAGTCTAACATTGTGTTTGGGTTACAGGGGTGAGAAATAAACTGAATTGTTGGGACACCCCACTGGTATCTGAAAAATTAGACAATTTGTTGTAACTCGAAAGTACTTTAAATTCCTAACTATATTCAGAGAGACTTTTTATATTCAATTTATACCCAAATAATTGCAGTCAATAATTAAAATGAACATTTAATGTTTCCCAAGCAAGTCTTTAGTGTCTTGGAATTCTTAGTAGTTTAAAATAAAGAGTTTGATATTTATATATTACACATACTAGTTTATATGCGATTTTTTTCTTTCCACTTGGGAGCAGCCCTTACCATAAAAAATCTTCCACTGAACTGTGGAATACTAATCCAGTGGAATCCTATTGTCCCTGGGTTCTCCATCTGGCAACATGGCTTTGTAACTGCACTAGCTGCCCTCCCTCTTCTGTTTCTATAAAGAATTATAATGATATTGATGATCAAAACTTGTGAACTACCTAAAATGTTTGAAGTATAACAAAATTTTAAAGTTGCTTAATTTCAAAGAACACTGATAAAAATCCTATAATAACGAAAGCTACAGCTCACTCGTCTATCATTACTAGTAAGAAATTAAAATAGATAATTATTCACAAAAATCAATTCCTAATATGCTCTAAGCATCTACAAAAAGTTATGAGCCTTGGTTTTGCCTTTAGAAAGTACTCATAGTTACATATGATATTTTACTCCCCTAAATGACATATAGGACATTTTAATCATTAAAACAAAAAAAAAAAAAAAAAAAAAAAACCTGTTGCCAGATTGAACAGCT